AGATCTGGTTAACTCCATTCTTCTCATACCGTAAAACGATCTATTTGTGCCTCCGCAGAATTCACTCGCTCCCAAAGGACCCTCACAACATCTAGCTTATTATACATCAATTCACCCATTCATATTATGTGTATTTGGGAGTCGTTGTGGCGTTGGCGACAAGACGCCCGCCTGCGGATCGGAAGGTCGTGGGTTCGCGTCCTGGAGGAGCCAGACTTTTTAAAAAAAATGACCTTAGCTCCCAGGTCGACAGATTTCAGTGGGTACCGGTTGCCGTCCTGGGAAGTAAATGTGGCTGGCGTGATGCTGACCACATCACCCAACAAGTGTCGTTTGGTCTATAAAAATATAGGTCTAGCCCTATATACCAAAAGCGAAACGAACCCATATGGAATGCAAATTCGATTTGCAGAAAAAAAAAAGTCGAAATAATTATGATACACAGCTAATTTTTTTTTTTTTTTACTTGAAGGATGTCCAGAGACATTTGTTTCTGCCGACGATTCAAAATTTGGTGAAAATGCGACAGAGCTTTTTCGTTAAATAAATTTGCAGCGTGCATACCCACTTTCTTATTAGGGTAATTCTTCTCAATGAAAGATGCAACAGCTTCCCATAGTTTCAGCATTTCTCTTATTTCGCCAGAAGATTGTCACTTTTCTGTTACCTTCTCCTCCTCCTCTGACAAACTTTTCTCCAAAACTTCTTGCTGTGAAACACAATGCAACTCCATAAGCTCTTGGGTGGTCAGCTCTTGGTTGTGCTCTTCCACAAGCTCTTCGATATCACTGTTATCCACCTACAATCCCTTGATAGTGGCCAAAGACACAACCTCGTTGACTACAGGTTCCACAGGTAGGCCTACTGTCTAAAACTCCTCAGTCACAAATCGACAACGCTCTCTTGGTAACCCCTTCCCCCGCCCTGTCGATCATCTTGAGGCAGGCAACAATGTGGAAGTGATTTTTCCAAAACTCTTTGAGTGAGGCTGGTCCCTTCAGTCACGTGGAAACAATGCTCGAAGAGTGCTTTAGTGTAGAGCTTCTTAAAGTTAGAAATAACTTGCTGGTCCATGGGCTGCGTTAACGGAGTGATGTTGGGAGACAGAAACTGGACCTTGATGAACTTAAATTCTTCAGGGAGGTCATCTTGTAGGCCTGGAGGATTCATGTACATATATCACAATATAACACACGTTTGAGAAAATGTGTGATCACAAGCGACACTACGATGCTACTGGAACGAGTGCTAAACCCAGACTGATGTAACATGCGCACAATCCGGGACTTTCCCTTTCCTCGCCACTGGTTATGCGAAAAGTCGCTCGTTAAGCAAGTCATTCTTTTACAATTTGCTTTGCTCGTCATGCGAATTACTCGTTAGGAGAGGTGCTCTTAAAGCGAGGTATGTGCATTTTAAAAAAACACGCGGGCGCACGCACCGGCACATCATACTGTTGTGTTGTTTATGTCATATAGGGCTTGCAATTGATTGTTTCCGTTCTATCCTTTCTTTTCCCCTTTCCTTCGATATTATGCAGTCTAGCTTCTCTGGCGTTTCACCAATGTTCGCCGCAGGTTTTTCGAATTCTCCAACATGGTTTCTTAAACCCATGTCTTTCTCATTTCAATTTACAACCTAAGTTTCTCTTCACTGGGGTTTTTGTTTGTAACAATATTTTTCACTGCTAAAAAACTACAATATATACAGAATCAGCATACTAAACTTACTACGGAGGAACAAACTTTGGCCTGGAAGAAAAACACACACGGAGAAATCTCTGGGGAAACGGAGTGTCTGGTGTCTAATATTTTTTTCTTTCTCAGCATTCCGAGCCCTTTAAGGTGGATTGCTGCAGATATCACCCGCCTCCATCCGTCTCTCTGTTTGGCCTTCTCTTTCCAGATGGTAACACCAAGTGTTTGCAGGTCTGTCTGGATATTATCTCTACATCGTCTTCTTGGTCTGCCTAGTGGTCTACGACCATTCATAATTCTACTTCACAAACATTAATTCTTGTCTTCCCGCTGTCACCTAATGATGGAGCATAGGCCCTCACACAACTGCCGCCAGGTCGCCCAATCCTTTACCATCGTCTAGGTTAGTTGCGTATCCTTTACAGGACGTTGTAGAACCAACCCCGACAGGCCCTGGCTGTTGTGTGGTTTTTCTAGGCGAATTTACGTTCAGTAGTTTGTCATTGCTTTCTGGACGGTCGAAACCAAAGGCGCATGGCCCGCAGCTGGGATCGAACACGGCATTACGAAGCGTTCGCATCGACTTAGCCATATAGCCGACCACCATCGTTTACTAAAAAAAAAACTAACATCAGTTTATAGTACTAGCCTAGCAGTCTGAAGCCTCAGAACTCCCTGTATACACAGTCCTTGATTGGCACCTTCCGTCTTTCCAGACGATAGTCTTACATTGGGCTATGAGAAGGCATGGAACTAGCAGCCCATGGCGATGGCGAGTGTGTCTGGCAAGAGCCTCTCGCGTTTAGGAAAGTCGCAATTAAAGCATGGGATTTCAGACCGTTGTTGTCAACATGTGTGTTTGATCCATTTCTTCTTAGATCTCATCCATTTTTTTTTTCGTTACTCTCATTCTTTTCCTGATGTACTTCCCTCCTCACAACACGGTCCATGGCATTTTGTTTCTTCGAGTCCATCTCAATATGTGTATAATTCATGTCATGCTTGCACACATCTTTATATCCCAGTAGAGGTCGGCCTCTGGTGCCTGCGCAGAATAGGGGGAATTAAATGGTGTGATAGAAAAAAAAATAATGTAGAGCTGTGGGAGAGAACTAAGCAAGCTACAGTGGACCAAAAGGTGAGGAAAAGACGCTGGCGTTGGAAAGGACAAACATTGAGAAAACCAGAGAACTGCATAACTTGAATGTCTTTGCATTGGAACCCACAGGAGCATCGGAATAAAGGAAGGCACACACACAAAAAACACAAGGAGAAGAGAGCTGAGAATGAAGTCAGAAAAATGGGGAGGACATGGGGAGAACTCCATGTAATAGCGAAGGATAGAACGACTTGGCGTGAGTAGGTTGAGGGCCTATGCGCCATTGGGGGATAGAGAGGCAGAAGAAGAAGAGGTCGGCCTCGACATCTACCCGTTTTTAATTCACCATAGAGGATGTCCTTAGGGACTCTGCCATCTCCTAGAGTCCTTTACCATCGTCTACTGCAAAAATAAAATTGTAACCTGCAGTCTATGGCACAAGCGATGGGGCCTGAAGTCTCAGGCTCCAGAACTCCCTGTCCTAAAATGGTACTATAGTTAGCAATATGGTGGCTATACGTTCATGCCGCAAAGTGTCACAGAGAGGAGTTGTCCTTGTCTATTAATGGTACAAAATGGGTCCTACGTGTCGTAGTCGTAATGCTTCTTAGGCACAATCTGAAATAATAAATTGGAAAATAGTGGCAAATAGAAATGAGCAGAAGATGACATAAGTGGCTTTATTATGTATCAAAGAAATACGTAAGATATGTTAATTAATTAATTAAATATAATTTCACTAAATAAAACAAATTTGATTCTATAACATATTACAATTTGTTTATGTTTTAATTAACTTTATTTTCTTACAGACCTAAAGAATCTGATAACAACAGAAAATCTAACTTTATATGGCCAATAAGCTCAGCAATGAAAACATGCTTTTTTTTTTATTTTCCAAAAAAAAAAAAAAAAAAAAAACAGCCCATTTCAAAATTATTTTTTTTCTCACACTAATTGACGGGAAAATATTACAGCAATAAATCATTTTCATCATTATTAAGCCAGAATAATAACAGAAAGGTTAGTTTGACTTTAGAATCCCCAAATAGAGTAGATTACATTTCCTTCACAAGTTTGTTGGGCTGGTTGACTTTCCTGAAGGTTACGGGTGTGTCCCGCTCTGTTGTCTAGTTGCTGCAATGTCTTGCATTTATTTTTTCAATCTGAGAAAGAGAATGCCTGTGATACAGGTTGCAGCACTCTCTAGAGGCGTTGTGTAAGACCCAGTTTTTCCATGTTTTTCAAGTGTTAAAAGCGCTGATGTGCTGAAATATACAACACAGGATATCAATGGCACTGCGGAACACCTCTATAACCGTGTGCAAAGGTCACAGGGCTCATGAATTACCAATCAAAAGTTACCTAGGGTGTATATGGATGGGGTCTGGGCAGACTATCGTCGAACTAACCCAACAGAAATTACCAGATACTATGTAACAGTTGAGGAAGGCTTTGAGGCAGCAGACACATAGTTTCTTATGTTGACAGTAGCTTGGACAGTCAGAATCAATAACAACAAATACCTGGGGGAAAAGCGGAGGTGGGGAGGCCCCCGAAGGACTTGGAAAAGTAAAAATAAAATTTGACACAACTATAGGAAAGGGACAAACAGTGTGAGTATGGTGTGTATGAGAAGAAAGACACTGGAAAACAATGTAACAACTGGAAAGATTAGCAGTAGACAAAAAAGAAGCAGTCCCCCCTCCACCAATCCCCCACCCCTTTTTCTCACACACAAAAAAGGAGATGGTCTCAGTCAGTGGTACTGAGGAAAGGAATATCATCAACAGAACTGATCAACATCATCAATGACTAATTTCTGTGAAGAGACATGAACCTGTATGCCATCTGGCACGACACATCATAATGATAATGATGACTAGGTAACATTGTTAATTAAATCCACAAAAGTAATGAAAAACTGTCTCTCACTAATTCAGCATTTGTAAGAGTCACTTATCGGGCACTTTTACATTACAATCCTCATCAGTTTCTACCCCAATATCTTCAAACAACTGCTTCTTTGTCTTCGGGTATCCTTCCAGTATCGAATTGAAAATGTCTGATGCAATTCTCTTTCTTTTTCTCCACTCTTTCACATACTTTTCTCTGTTATTATACACTTTGTCTTTCTCCTCTTTTGAGATTAGTACTCGACCCTCTTTCAGCTTCGCAAGTTTTGCTTTCAGCTTTTCAATCTCTGGATAAATGTTACTGAGTTCATCACGAGCAGCAGCAGTTGATAAAACACCACTGAACAGATGAAGCTCCGACTCCAGTGTGCGGATTCCGTCGCTGTGAAGTTTAATCTGGTCATTCAGCTGGGCTATCTTTTCATCCATGGCTTTAATTTCTGTGTCATCAACTGCAGGATACTGACTCTGATCAGCGACGTAAACTTTCTGTTTGCCGTAAACCTTCTCCTTCAGTTTACCCTCAGCTGCAAGACTTTCCATGGCTTTAGTGCATGCCGTTTTCCCTAAGTCTTTGCCCATATTCTGAAACACGTCTTGTACGCTGTACGGTCTGTTCTGTTTTATCATGTAGACCAACACGGCCTGGTTGGCTGCACTTTCTTTTGATTTGCTCATAGTGTCTCTTTTAAATACTGGTTGTTCTGTTAGAGACAGAATTAAAATGTATTTGATTTTGATGTTAAAACACACATTTGATAATAAAAAATATAAATAATTACACACTAATTATATGGTAGGTGTGTATTATAATTTTTTATGGCTGAGTCTAAAGTTGTCTTTGAGACAGAAAGTGTTGTATGATCCTTATGTTGTAGAAATTGTTCTATTAGATCTAGTAATTGTGCAAGAGTTTAATGCTTTAGATTGTCAATACATTCTCTCAGAGCTGGCTGTGAAGTAGAGAAGACATACGGTTTATTCTAATGTGAGTTTATCATTATTCACTGGGAGACTGACATTCCCCGCCTCTAATATGTAGAACTGGATTGGTAAAATAATCAAAAGCCCCACATATAGTTTAGAGAAAGTGTGGCCAAACGTTTCCAATGGCTGTCCCCACCACAAAAACTGCTTTGTTAAAATGTTGGTATATGGCTAGACATTTTTTACCAGAATCATTATATTATCATTACATCACCCTTCCCACCCCCACCCCCGACTTCTTGGGTAGTGAGACTGGATTCAAAGTTCTATCAAGCTGTGATAGAGAAGAAAAATTAAGGGCCTATGAGCTAGTTAAAAAACCTGATCCTAAATCTCAGTGCTTTCATAAAATCCTATCCAGGGAAAATCCACAAGTCATGGGACAGTCTAATATTTCAGGGGGTGGTAGATATGCTGCATACAGTCGTGGGACCTAGGCTGCATGCAGTCATGTGACCTAGGCTGCACTCTCTCGTGGGATGTAGGAAGGTTGGGGTTAGGGCCAGTTCTAGATGTTTTTGGGTCATTATAAGCATCAGAAAGCCGAAAAACCCAGTCTTACCACCCTCTAAAATTTTGGACTGTCCTATGACATCATCTGGGCTAGGATATCATGAAAGAACCCAAATCCCTGCTGATATGACACCCTCAATCTTCCCATTTAAGCAGCAAACTCCAGACAGCTTTACCTTACAACAGAATTTTTAAAAGCCTTGTACTGATGTGGGTTTTCAAGTCTGGCCTCTTGCGGTACATAGCTTCTTATCTGTTAATAAAATTGTTAACACTGTACAGAGAAATCACATCCCTCTGGCATACAGTTTCTTTCTACCGTTATAATTCAATGTCCATGATTCATAGACACACTGTATTGTTGGCAATACACAACATCCTGAAGCTTGCTTTCTGCCTTCTAGAGAAAGGGATATGTTACTTTTTAATTTAATGGAATGCCTCTGTTTGGTATATTCTGCAAGTAGTCTTTGCATAACTTGTTCCAGCTGTTGTTATCACTGGCCCTAGGTAATGAAATAAATTTGATTCAGTGTTATCGGTCACTAGAACATTAACCTATTATTATCCAAAAAGCAAAATTTTTTTTAGGTAGAAATACTTAGCTCCAATTGCTGGAATTAGTAAGCAGAAACATTATTTTTGGTGCAACTGTTATTCAAGAAATGAATCTCCACTCAAGACTTCTCAGTTGATCTCCTCAGTCCAGATTCTAAGACTACAGTCAGTAAAGTAAACCAAAGAACCCCTTTTATGCCAGCAGCATTCAGGCACATAATCTTTTACTTATATTATTAAACACCAATCAGCACTCAGTCAGTGATGTGGTAAACTCCATGCTGGCTGCCTTTGCTTCTCAGGACATTACCTGGTACCCATTTAAGATCGGACTGGCTTGGGAACCAAAATCAATTTTCAAGAAAAAAAAATACAGTACATTACAGCAGCCCCTCAAGACAATACAAGGACATTAACAATCAGCAGGTCTTCTACAGAACATCCCTCTTATCCCAGCATGTCTGAAGGTCTCTCTTTCTCTAGCCAATTGTACTTTCCCAGCCAATACATCTCAAATGTCTTGTTTCCACTTTTGTGGAGGTCTCTGCCTTGTTTTCCCGAAACTGTACCTTCCATCACTGTTCTCTCTATAGCCAAAAAACTTCAGCTTTTGGGACAGGATGCTGTGTATGAGCCAGTTCTCCTAGCTGCTCAGATCCTGTAGGATATTGGTATGCCCAGAAGATACTAAACAAATCATACTGTAATCTTTCTTTTAAGAATTCATTATGGTCATGTCTGTTCAGTCTTCTGTCATGTGTACTGTCAAGAATTGTTTATACAGATGTCCCTCTATGCCACAATGTCAGGCTGACTATCCAAAAGCTTCCTTCTAAGTTTTCCCATCCAATTTACCTGCTGTCACAACACATGTGAACCGCTGCCTACTGATGCAGCAGAGAAAATTTATGTCAAAACATTATCATGAAGCTTAGTATCTGTCCTTAGTGTTTTTATTTCTTGTTTGTGCAATTCACCCATTTCTCACATTTCTAATAAATGTTCACGATTCACATTTATTCACAGTAACTGTCTCTATGCAGCCCTCAAGAGCTCTTTCTCACCTTTGTTGACAAATACTGAGTGCACAGAATATTCTTCATCCTGTGCAATTTTACTTTTGCTTGAGCTAAACTACAATTAACTTCATTATTTCACCTTCCACATGGGTTTCTGTGGCAAAGTGGTCAATCCGTTTGCCTTGTGCTCTGAAGGTCGTGACTTCATTTCACAGCAGTGTTGTTTGGTTCACAAGTGCATTTGTGTTTACATATATCTCTGAGAATCGTCTACAGAGCTACAGAGTTCATGTGTGCTACTCTTGGCAGGCGGCCATGCGATCTGCTGGGAAAGACAGAGCAATTTGATAGTGAGCTGAAGTCGAACCTTTCACTGTTACCCTTTAATAATTCTTTCATCAAATACTGTGAAGGTACCCAGATATTTAACTTACCACCTGTTTATTGATAAATATTTGTTCTCTACACATGTCTTATCTTGTTTCTTTGATTATATTTTGTTACTTCAACTCATTTGGTCCAATTTGTGTAAAATTTTTAATTCACTAAAATTCAAAAACTTCTACTCCAAACTAAAGTTAAACAAAATTGGAATAGAGTGTTGAAGTAATTATTGTCATGGATCAAATAGATAAACTCATTGCAGTGCTATTTAGTTTTACTGTGAAATCACATTACGAAAGGAATTACTTTTTTCTTTAATTATTAGTATTATCATAACTAAAGCCATTACTTATGAAATTACTTATGGATATTAATTAGAATACTAATTTCTTATGGACTTCTGCTGTGAAAAAAAAAAGAAAAACTTTGTCTTGACTTTATATTACAGTCAAAAGTTGTAATAGTGGCTTCTTTTTTTTTTCTGGGAGGTATGCAATACCGGTCTCTTTCTTTCCCCCCAGTACTTTTTGTTATCGCTATTGTAAGAGTCACTTTGTGGTAAGCACCAGTACTCTTCTGTGATACTTTGTGGTAAGCACCAGTACTCTTCTGTGATACTTTGTGGTAAGCACCAGTACTCTTCTGTGATACTTTGTGGTAAGTACCAGTACTCTTCTGTGATACTTTGTGGTAAGTACCAGTACTCTTCTGTGATACTTTGCGGTAAGTACCAGTACTCTTCTGTGATACTTTGTGGTAAGTACCAGTACTCTTCTGAGTTACTTTGTGGTAAGTACCAGTATTATTCTGTGATACTTTGTCATAAGTACCAGCATCCTTTGTCCAGGAAAGAAAGCCCTAATTATATCTATATTATTTCTCATAACTGCATTTCATTCTCAGCTAATAAAACTGTTTTATCAAGCTAAACAACTGATTAAATATTACAATTTTTTTTCACAAACTATATTATTCCTCATCACTTGCCATACCGATGAGCATATGCTGTCCATGTTTCATTATCCCACATGATCACCAGAATCACAGATCGATTCAGTGTTCTTGCCTCACCCCCATCCATATGGCTAAGCCATCCTTGGTTTTATCTCGTTGCCTTCCCCTTACTCTTTTCCCATTAATGTTGCCAGTCGTTACTAAGTTCTAGAATTCATTCATTCGCATAAATATACGTTTTAGTACTTTTAGAATATGTCAGTAAAAACCGACTGGTGACAACACAGTCACCGTAGTGCTAAAATCGAACGGTGAAAACAATTTGCGAATGAAATTAATAATAAAGTAAACAATAATTACATTACAAGAGCGTCAGTTAGACAAGTATTCAGATTCAGCATTGGTGGGATAGTGGGGGCCTACAGAAGCAGAAGTTAAGTCTTAACAGTTAAGACCAGGCTGCCGAATTGTTGGCTATGTACGTACACTAACTGTACTACTGTACACATAGATTTGATTCATTCAATTAACACCATCTACCCACATTAACATACACCGCTTTTAAACTAAGGTGGCAGTTTTATTTCATTACAATAGTTTTGCATTAGTGTTCACATACCTTCAAAGTAAACGAAAAAAAAAAAAAAACGTGTTTTGTTCAGAAAAATGTGAATCGATTGACCAAGTACAAGGAACACGGACTGCAGGAGTGCTCGTTCGTAATATGGCGGGCTAGTCTATTTTTAGAAGCTGCCGGATTGTAATTAAAAAAAGAAAAGATATGTGTGTGCATATATATATCGAGTTAGTTGCGTATCCTTTACAGGACGTTGCAGAACCAACCCTAACAGCCCCTGGCTGTTGTGTGGTTTCTCTAGGCATCCAGTAGTTTGCCATTGCTCCCTGAATGGTGGGCTTTCTTGATACCACTGTCAAAACCAACGCAAGGCGCATTGCCCGCAGCTGGGAATATATATATATATATATATATATATATATATATATATATATATACACACAAATATGTATATATATATATATATATATATATATATATATGTGTATGTACGTATATACACACACGCACACACACACACACACATATATATATATATATATATATATATATATATATATATATATATATATATATATATGTGTGTGTGTACGTATATACACACACACACAACTTATCACAGACATCAGAAGAAGGCAGTCATCATTTTTTGGCCATGTTATGAGAAGAGGGAAAATAGAACATGA